GAGTGGACTAATTGATCTATTCTTAGCAACTATTTCAATTATGACTTTTGCAGCACTGCTGCAGTGGTGCAGCAGTGGTACAGCAGTGGTACAGCAGTGGTACAGCAGTGGTGCTGTACTACCGCGATATAAATTCCCGTATGCACTGGTGTTACTGCAGAAATTTAGGAGAGAATACGTCACTGTTTATAACGTAGCATCACACAGGCTTTAGAATAAGAGTTATTTCCAAACAGACGTTTTGCTTCACTAGTACCAAGTTCAACTTCATTATTATTATTACTGGAAGTGTAAACTGAAAAATCGTGCGCAGTGTTGCATGAAATGTTTTTCGCCTTATATTACCGTGCTCATAAGTAGCTTCCTCAAAGTCAATGTTGTCAATCACACAAACATTCCATATGTATGGATTAATCTGTATTTTCTTGGTCGGGTCTGCTGATTGTATTCGATTTCTTTTCCTACCGGCTAGTATTGCATCCATGGTTGTTTAGCTGCATCAGACAAACTGATTGGGAAGGCGGTCGGGGAAAATGCAATGGGAAAAGCCACGTTGGTAGGTAAAAATGATGGGAAAAGCCACGTTGGTAGGTAAAAATGATGGCTAGCCTAGCTGACCAATGTCCACTTACTTTTGACATAATTATTGTGGCAGATTAAACCGACGTCTATCATGTGATTACAGTATTCACTGATCTGCAACTGGCATAAAATAAAGCAAAGGTCATAATTGACAGCAACCATTTCGTTCTCGATAATCCCACAACTAGCTTGATCTAGAGTTCTCGTTTGATATCTTGTAATTTTCCAAATTTCTCGATCACATTTGTTATCAAGTCTATCCTGTTGCGAGACATTCTAATGAAACCTCAGAGTACTATCTCGACTGCAATACAAATCACATTTGCCGACTGGCTAATAATTATTGCTTTTATATTCGGCGGATGTTGTAGTAATGTGTTTGCTTTGGAGCTACTTATTGGGTAAGATACGGATTGACGGTTAAAAAAAGGATGTTGTTTTGTATTCCTGCATTAGGACACTATACAACTTTTGTTGACGACAGGCTAATTTTCCCCAAACTACCAAATGTACTGTGAATAAAGGGATGCACCAATGAGCGGTGGGTAGGCATGGTTAACGATGTTGGGACTCTAATATTACCTTCTTTTTTTCTTTTGCTTTTGCTAAACATTTATATTTCTCATTGGGCTCAGGTAACCTAATAACCTTTGCTCAGTTCCTCTTTGTTTCGATTGAAGGACTTTATTATCATCTTGAATTCTTGTCAAGACCTCGGTTGAAACGTCGCATAATTCCTATCGAGAGATGGATATTGATGGTGCTTATGTTCTTCTCTGTTTCAATACTGAATAATATTGCATTGGGTTACAATATTTCTGTCCCATTGCATATTATCTTCCGAAGTGGGGGTTTAATTGTTGGTATGATACTTGGGTGGCTTGTAATTGGTAGAAGGTGGATGTCACATATAATGATCTAATGAGATTTTGGTGATTTTTTATTATTAATAATGCGTAATGGATTATTGATTGTAGATATACCTTTAAACAAGTACTAGCCGTAATATTAGTTACGTTAGGCGTCATATCTGCTACTTTGGGCTCGGCTAACAAAAAGTCAAAAGTGAGTACCTTTAAATCAATGGCTGATGGGAATACAGTCGAATAACTCATCTTTGTTACTAGGAGACAGACGATATCAGCACGAGAGACTATTTCTTCGGAATTACTCTTCTTAGTATTGCTTTAGTACTCTCCTGTTTCATGGGAATATATCAAGAATTAACTTACAAGAAATACGGGAGCAACTGGCGCGAGGGTTTATTTTACACGGTATGATAGTTGATCCTATTTTTCCCCGGTCATATAATTATTCTCCCTGACATAAATTTTTCTATTTATGTATATATAGCATTGTCTCGGATTACCTCTTTTTCTGGTTTTCTATTCAGATATCTGTGACCAAGTCCAGATACTCAACTCATCACCTGTAATGTCTCTAACCAAAGTCCTTCCTGATGCGATACGAAAGACCGTTCTGGCCGACTTAGTTTTGTCATTGTTTAATGTCTTCAGAATCCGTACGGCATGGCTTTATCTTTTTTTCAATGTACTCACACAGTAAGTACAATTTGGTTTGCTGGTTACTATTATTTGAAGAAAAACTGATTCCTCTTTCTGTCTGCAGATATGTTTGTATTTCTGGAGTTCATCGATTGAATTCCAGGGTAACTGCTCTTACACTCAATCTTGTGCTGAATATTCGTAAATTTACATCTCTCTGCATCTCCGTGTTATACTTTGACAATGATCTCACTCTGGGCATGGCTGTCGGTGGTGTTCTTGTATTTGTTGGAACATTTTTGTATTCTCTTGGGAGCGCGAAAGAAGCAGACAAGGGTAGCAGTGAACTTATCGACCGAGAACGTGAAAAGACTACCAAACTTGAATAGGTGTGTAGAACTGACGGTGATAATTGATGTATCAAGCTAGTTATGATGCGTTGGAAGAATATTGTTTTAGAGCCACTAGAGTCAGTTTAAGCATCGCTTGGTCTCTGTATACTGAAATCGAGCTGTTAACTTCGTTAGAATATCCGTAGGAAATAAATTAAAGCTCTCAACGTCTCAGACAAATTCTTATGTCCGCATCAGCGAGTAATTATTGTAACAACTGTTTCCTGCTCGTAGTTACTCGCAATTAGTGAAACAGTTGTGCGGGATAATTAGCTCTGTAACTAGTTCTTGTCGCAATTAGAAATTAATTAAAATCTCTTAAACGTCTCAAACGTTAATATTAAGCAATTATTATCCGCTCATCATTGTGTCAAACTTCGGGCATCCACATTTGGGAATTTGGGATAGTGAGGTAGCTATACATATATAACGAAGCATTGAACACCCCCATCGATAGAGGCAGAGGCATATACAGTACTACAGTTTAAGTAGTACCGAGCGTCTGCATATACAGGTCACTGGTATCAATTCGCTCTCCCGTTTCGACATAGATAATACATTTTGCAACATGGTTACAAAAACACTTTGAAATTAGGAAGATTGATGAATCGGTCTATTTGTTGAAAAATAAGGCAACCAAATACTTGAACAAACAAGCATACTCTTTATAACCATTAGTGCACGATAGCAAAAATCTAGGCTTTTTTCGTGACACACTGTATATGGCAGCAGCGGTGAGTAATGCGTTAACACGGCATGTTTATGATTTTAACTACGTTGCTGTTGTAAGAAAAACTAATGGGTTGCTGATAGCAATCAAAAAGTCTAATTTAATAGACTAAATTATGTACAGTCCCCGGCGAAAATAATGGCGGTGATGCAAAATCGGCTATCCAACGTATTATTCTTATTTACCACGTTAAAAATACCCATGTCTTTGTATTTGCATTTTAATAATCTCAGGATAAACTATAATCTTGTAATAACTGACTCAAATCTACTATAAGATGCTCGCGTTTTTAGACTTGCTAAATCAAAAAATACAATTTTTACCCGATATTAATATTAATTAATATAGTCTAATCTGTTGAAGTAAAACAGCTTTGATATTTGCTTCTCGTCAACTTAAAAGTTTATTCATAAAATTAGGTTTAAATAAATAATAATAAATCTAAAAGAAAGCCACCATTCATTTGCAAGTTATGGTATTAGTCTTGAAAAGAATACTGTTTAATAAAAAAGGTTCCACGTGCAATGTACAATAACACAAATTCTCTCCGAGAATTCAAACAATTACTATTACTATGTCGTTATCATCGTCAGGAGTTGTTAATAGTCCAACAATTGATAACTTGGTTCAATCCTCCTTAGAAAGTGAAAATAAATACACTATCCTCCCAAAAGTATCCGGTTGAGCATACATATTAATTAGCGAGTTTTTTTCTAGTCTTAATCTCTTGTTTCTGACGATTAGTTTCCTATTTTGAAAGCTGTTAATTACGTGTATTTTGTGTATAAATCTGTTTGTTTGCGCTGCTATTCGCACAGTGAATGATGGATTGTCCAGAAAAGGATTAGAGTGTTTCCTGATTGGCCCCTCTCAATCTCAGACCTTAATCCTATTGAACAGTTAAGGTCTGGGCTTAAACGAAAAGTTAGACAACGTTCTGTGCATCAAAAAAAATCTGCAAAACGTATATCTAGTCAATAGAGCATTAAAGCCAAGAATCCATATGACGTCGTGCAGTTTCAGGTAAAATTTCACGCGCTAAAATGGAGCGCGTCCGTATTAGTATTGTGGATGACTTACCCCAAAATTCATATAATAATAACGCTTAATTGTTTAATACCCTGAAATGCAACTTATCTTCCCAAATGACAAAAACAGGTTGTTTCACGTCATTACAGCTTTTAGCGAAACGACTCTTACCTTGTACCAAGCAGACATCTACACATAATGATAATAAGGTACACCAGCAACTTGAGTAATTGACGTCCAAAGTTTTGCTAGTCTCTAATCACAGTCTCTCAGCCAATAAATCATGGCCCAACACTAGTAATTCACGGTGGAGCAGGCGCAATTTTGAAAAAAAATCTTACAGACGAAAAAAGGCTGGAATACATACAAGCACTGAAGGAAGCATTGAATATTGGATATAACATTCTGGAGAAGGGTGGAAGGGCCGTTGACGCTGTTGAGGCTGCTGTTAGGATTATGGAAGGTAATATGGAAACGCTGATATTCTGTCTATAGTTGGGATTTTACTTACTTCATACGCTAATTGGACAGATTCGCCGTTGTTTAATGCTGGAAAGGGCTCTGTGTTTACACTTAGTGGCAAGGTAAAAGATTAACTGATGAGATTGCATTCTCAGATTTGTCGCATTTACTGCATAGATGTCATTTGTTTGTGCTTTAAAAAGAATGAGCTGGAATCCTCCATTATGCTTGGCACGCCTTCTCACCCAGCCGGTGCTACCACACTCCTCCATACGGTTAAAAATCCTATAACTCTCGCCAAAACAGTCTTATTTGATCCTGAGGTTCCTCATGTATTCTTGGGTGGGGAGGAAGCGGAAAAGTATGCGCGCGAGCAAGGATTGGAAACCGTTGATCCATGTTATTTTTGGACCGAAGCCAGATGGAAGCAGCATTTGGAAGGATTGGGTAAAGGAAGAACTAAAGGTAGAGAAGCGGAGGGCTATCCAAATGAAAATTGGATTAATGGAAGTGAAGCGGAGAAGAACATCTTGCACTATGATGCAGGCATTCGTAAAGGAGAATGCATAGATCCGAATCCTATGGGTACGGTTGGTGCAGTCGCTGTAGATTATGATGGAGTAATTGCTGTTGCTACTTCAACTGGTAAGTGCGATAAAATCAATAAATATACTTAGTTATACCCCGGCATGATTGATAATTGAGTATTTTCATATTTACCACTGAAGGCGGAAGAAATAATAAGAAAGATGGTCGTATAGGAGATACTCCATTAATAGGGTGTGGTACTTGGGCCGACAACGAGACTTGTGGAGTAAGTGGAACTGGCAATGGAGAGGTAAATAAGACTGCATTTGGAACATGCTATCATGTTGTAATACCATCTAACGTTTATCAATTTCATAGTTCTTTATTCGCTATGTGATAGCAAAAGAGGTAGCGTCTCGCATGGAATATCTAAACGAGTCAGTGGAACTAGCAGCCTCAGCAGTGATTAATCGTATGAGTAACGTTGGTGGAGAAGCAGGAGTCATTGCACTGGATAAGTATGGAAATTGTAAGTGATGTCAAAATTTTCAACACTGCGAATTGGCAGTATATTAACTTTTTTTTTGTAGTTGCCATGCCTTTTAATACTCAGGCGATGTTTCGCGGTTTCATTAGAGTGTCAGACGGAATTCCTCATGCGTATATCTTTCCGGATGACGTATGAGTATTTTATATGAATCTTATTCGTCGGAAGATACGTTAGGCCAAAATCCATTTTGTCTGCTGGGCGTATGATCAGATTGTCTTGTCCTAGAAAATATACACTCACCACAAAAAGCATTAAATGAACAGATTCGTTTACTCACTTTGGAACGCGAACCTTTTACTATAAGGTTATTTGAGTGAGCAAAAAACCTCTTGACTATTGGTGGGGTTTTCAGAACAGTTATGATATGAGTTTCATATTCGCTTGGCCTTTGCTTAACAACACGTGAAATTGTTGCCAAATAGAACAGATATATTTTGAATTCCTTAACTTTGCAATTTTGTGGGATAGAACGCGTTATCTCTTGCTAACATATTGTATAATAAAGAGTCAAAAATTTGTATTATAAACCCAATTATGCTTTCTGGCATTTTGTCGTCCAGTGAAAGCGTGGTTGCGTTCTTTTGTATTCATCGCGTATTGTGTACTTGTAAGTTTCGTTTTTGAAACTTTATTGCAAGTCACGATTTAATTATTGGACGCACAAGAGACAAATTCATGAACAATAATACAGTTGTGCTTTGTGACCTAACAAACTTGCTTCAATAGTATTTGCATATAGTTTTGCCGCTATGATTAGTGACTCTATTTACCATTAGAAATTTTTGAAACCAGTATCACAATCTGTCCTCCATTTAAATTCTATGCTGAGATTATTAAGAATGCTTTGATCAAAAATTGATTTTTGTCTTTATATTGTTACATTGGAACCAAAAGTGCAATGCTAGGATATCGGCTGTAAAGATACTTCTTGTAACATTGAATTACATTCCTATTAACTTGTGTTATATGATTGAGGTCCTTGGGAGTTGATTCCGTTAAGCGCTTGCGTGTTCAATATACGTTTAACTATTTAGGCCTATTAAATGACTTCTTGTACTAAATGCTCTTAACTAAACATGATCGACTGCATATTAATGGCGTTCTTAAATTTTGATTTTTGTTTGTGTCCACTGAGCGGAAATCGTAGTACATATATGCAGGGGCGAGTTACCAATGTTTGTGACACAGTTATAAATGTCGAGAATGTGTAGTAGTAGAACTTCATAACAACGATGACATCAATTGCCTCCGACAAGGAATGGTTAGAAAAGAGTCTT